TTGTATATCTTAGAGTTGCTCTTTTAATTTTGCGACCGGCAATCTAACAACCATTGAAATTCATGTATTATGCACTTATACGAAAAGTGTGAAACAATTTAAACTGCACGCCTGGTTTTCACATAAACTGATGGTGTGTAAATATGCTTCTCATTCTGAAATTGTTGTTTTTAAAGATTGACGGTTTTGCATACAATCAGTTACTTTTTGAACCTGTGAAGCAAATTGTTCCTTCATATCATGCTATTTTTTAGCGACAAAAATGTCAACGTGACATGTACTTGCCTCGTTTATTTGCTAACATGTCAATTTCTTAAACGTGCAGGTGACAAAATGTATTCGCAATGAACTAACGCATGCTTCGATGTGTTTGTTGGTTCATACGCGCACATTACAGCTAAAAGGAATGTCTAATGAGACTGATGGATCGAATAACATCCATTAGCAATGGGACGTGCAGCATAATTTCGTGGCTTCTGATGTTTATTTAATGATGTAACTCAATTTTTAATCCATCAATTTTGCATGACCAATTTGCTTTGTCGTCATTTTGCCGATACATGGATTCATGTAATATGTATTCTCGTCAAATTTTGTTTGGAATGTACCACATTGTGTGACAAGTTTGTTGTATCCGGTAGGTATAATAAACTGACTAGAGTACAAATACTTTTTTAATGCGTGAATTAAATATTGTCAAGAATTCGTTGTTTTATTTAAAACGTATGTGTGCTATAAAAAACAAAAGTATCCAGTCGAAGTTTCACTTAATTTTTTTTTTGACGTTGTTACAAACATTGTCCATGCTTTCTTTATAATATTCTTATTTTTTCTTCAGCCATTAGTTCTTCTCAGTTCAGATGGTTCTGAACCGCCTTTGAAAATTCAAGGCGACGTTGCCGTACCTCATAGTACCTTTTTCCGATCAATAAACTGTGAAGATAACCACTAGTTTCCAAGCAGGAGTGGTGGAAAATATTTTTCAAAGCAAAATTATCAATTTGCCGGGGTAGGATAACAACAGAGTAGTTTTATTTTTACAAATCAAAAAGAAGAAGAAAAAAAGGGAAGGATGTATATGATAAATTTCTTAGGAGTTTTGTAATTAAACCAAAAATAACTCTTCAGTGAAAATGAATTATGATATTTTGGTAGCGATTGGAACTAATCGCACTTGCTCTATAATTACCAACGTTTATAATTATTGTGAAATATCTCACCCACGAATTCACATTTTTTTCTTATTCCAAGGTGTGTGATTTTTCTTCGTCTGCCGATTCGTGCCTCAAATTTTAAAAATATTTACTTTGATGTGTGAAATAATACTTTTTTACTTTCTCGCATTACGAATTCTTTGTAAAAAGAGAAAGTTATTTAATCGTGCGGCCAAAAACAGCATATTTTCGCCAGAAAAACCCTTATTCAAAATGTTATTTATAATAATATTTTACGTATTTATTTCTGATATTGAATATATTTATTTAACCACTTCGTTTTAATTCGAGATTTTTATATGATATATTCTTATGACCTGAGACTGTTTAATTTTCAACTTCAAAATTATTTTTGAGTTGTTTTGAGAGTACAAAATGGTGGTGACAACTTGTAACTTTTTCTGCATGCCTCTTGCGAAGACATGTAAATCTTACAAACCAGCGGAGTTCTGTTGGGGGGAGTCGCATCTGCTGAGCGAGCGAGTATTTCGTGTTGCCAGGGGCGTCAGGGTCATTAGTTCCGTAAGTGTAGTTAGTGTTTTATCCTGGGAGGAAGCGGTGTTCCTCCCCACCGGCGCCGACCTATTCGTCGGTGCGCAGGAGTTTCCCCTCTCCAGGTTTCTTCCCGTCGGCGAGGCACTGCCGCAGCACTGACAATCTCTCGACTGAGCTCCCAACACGTGTCCTAGGGAAGTGCCTGTAATGGTATGGTCGTAAAGGAATATCACCCGCGCATTTTGGCTCGCTTGTTAAGATACTGCTCTAGCGTTCGCCTGATAAGGATAAGAGAACCCACGAAAAATACCAATCAACGCATCAGGCTGCTACAGCTCTCCTCCTGGCAGCAACGTGAATAGTTAGAATCCCACAGTGTCGGGACCCGAATCCTAAAAACTGTCAGTCAGAAACGCTGCATTGCAAAACCCATTTCAGAAGGTTTAGCGATGAAAAATGCCTGCTTCACCTAAAACCTTCCGTACTGCGTCCCACTCACCCACGTGTATCACTGTAACGGTGCGAGGGCTGGCAAATTGCCGTGAACCCGCTCCATGTGCCACGCCCCGATTACCGCCTGCTGGGGAGGTTGATCGCCGCCGCCACCCAGAGCAACTCGTGCCGCGCGCCGACACCCGCGATTTCCGCGCAGCCGCATTATTTACGGCTCCGGCGCCGGCGGCGCGCGGCGGGCGGTTTATTGAAGTCGGTCGTCGCACGCTTCGATGATTCGGAGAACTGTTTTCTGGGCGAAGAAATAGGGAATATCTGGAATCCAGATATTTTAATTCAGTTCAACTTATTATAGAACTGACCTTTACATAATCTTCACGTTTCTAGATTTACCTGTTTAAAAGATGAAAATACGAGAGGGACACCCCTTGATTTCATGTTCCGTGATGGAGGTTATCGTCTTGTAGAAGGGCAGCCAACAATGTTTCAAGTCAAATCCCGCGTATGGTGCTGTCGCTTTGAATTAGCAATGCTGATGGATCACTTCCCCCTTTTTCTAAATTATGTAAGACCTTGTACAGACGCTTCTTACAACAAGTGTACAGAGGAACCTCGAGGTGGGTAGTTGCCGTAGTTATTGATGGGGATTCCTAACAACAGTGTTACCAAAGCTGGTACGTACATTAAGGTACGCGTCTTCCTCAAAATGATTTTCCGAAAAAATATATTTTTTAAAATTTTCATTGTGTGTTGTGCAATGAGACGTTTACTTTTCTATGCTTAAAGCCGCTAACTTCTTAGTTTGGTATTTTTTGATTTATTTTTACTTTTCTGAATGCGCGCATATGCCACGATCCACGAGCATTTACAGCTCAGCTGAAAATGTTAAATGAAATGCAAATTACAAATAATAAATTTCTCTGTTACTTGTTATTGTAACCAGTGATTTTTAGTTCTAATTCAAATCCGTCCAAAGAACATAGAACTCCCTTAAGTATCTTCAAATGTAGGTTCAGGCACTGAAGTATAATCCAAGTAACAGCCTTAAAACCACATCGTCAAAAATGTTTAACGGTTCGTGTGTTATGATGTCTCAAATTATACTATTTTGCGGAGGAAAAACAAGTATATCGGATGAAATAATTAAAATATTTTTGAAACAATTTTGTCTCTGTTAATACCTAATTCAACTAGTAATCGTGATTAAATTGAGATATATGCCACAAATAAAAATTATGAAACTCAGATGGACGTACAAACTCAGACCTTAAGAAAAAAGGATTAAAAAAGTGTGGTCACTTCAGCTTCGTCAAACACCTTGCTCACAGCCTCCCGTTCCGCCATCTACAACACTCCGACGCGTGCTGTTATAACGTTTAGAAAATTTGCCGCTCGCCCTCGAGGTCACCAAACGCCACTCGTGCCGCTGGCTGCCCACCAGCCACTCCCCGTTCTTATTTATTAGGTTCTCAGGGAGCGGCGCGGAACATCCGCAGTGGATGCGGTGCGGAAAGTCCCGCGCTACACCATTCACGCACGAAACCTGCGGGACCGGAGCGTCAATTATGACTCTGTGTTTGGTGACAGTTTTCCTCATCCGATAATCAAAACGCGTTCGCTATTCATGCATGAGATAGAAGATGCCAATTCTGGTAGTACGTTTTCGTAGCACATGCGGTACGGTGCTTTTATCTTCTTTACCTACGATTTTCCATAAAATTGTTAATATCTCTTCAGGAAAAGAAGAAAAAATGTCCATTTGACCTAGAAAGGAAAAAGTACGGAGAATTTCATGCTTTGATGTCACAGAGGACGCTTTTTTTTATGTACTAGAATGACCAGTGATATGTTTTGATGAAATTTTGAATCTGATCGCCGAAGACGTAAGTAAATCTGACACTAAAGAATCATCTTACCTGAAGAATGACATATATTACACTCATGTGAATATACATAAATAAAAATCGAAGTTTAATGTTATTGACAATTAATTCAATTACTGAACACGATTTAAAATATTTTTTCTGACCGTTCAGTCGTGTCATATTCACTGGCGATCTTAAAATATTGACATCTGACGAGTCGTTGCCGTGATTTCTACAGCGAAACTCGAGTGTCAGCGTATAAAACCCGGCCGACTGCGTTACAAAATCCGCCACGGATTAAACGTTGCCAATCCGCTGCCGCGACGCTCGCCTGCCGCGCAGATCTGGACGTGCTCATAAGCCAACACGTGACGCGAAACTTCCGCTGCGGACATTCCGCGTAGGCTGCGGATCTTCCGCGCCAGTCTGTGGGAGCATGCAACGTGTAGAATATCCTGCCCCATTAACGGCCCTCCGGGAGGTTCCTAAACGCCGCCCGTGCCGCTGGCTGGCCACCCGCGACTGCCCGCGACACCCGCGTCCATCTTTACGACTCGCCCTTCCGTCGGCGGCGCGCGTCCGCCGGGCGTTTTATTGTGGCGGCGACTCTTCCTCGCTTGCATATCGAGCGAACAAGAGCCACCGCCCGGCGCTTTTATTTCGGGCGTCGCTTTGAAACAGACTCCGCCTCGCCGTCCCAAGGCGACGGCGCCCGGCGTTTCATTTGCACTCGCGGCCCGTAAAAAGCGCGCTTAACTGCGGCCCCGACAGCTCGGGAAACAAATGACGGCCTGCGGTGCGTAATGAGGTTTCGGCCAAGGGAAGGGGGAAATGTGGTGGAGTAGTGGGTGGAGAAGACGGGCAGGTGGTGGACGAGAATGAGGTGAAGAAGTTATAGCGAAGAAGATGAAGAAGTAAAGGAAAGAAAAGGGCGTAATTTAGCTGTAAGGACAAGGAAGTTGAGAAGAAGATCATGGATAATAATTTAGGGAAGAAAGAGGCAGAGAAGAAAGTGATGACGGTGTGGAGAAATTTTCAGAGGTGTAGTTGGAGAAGAAAGTAAAGAAGACATTGCTTGAAAACAAGATAGGGTGATGAAGGAGATGAAGAGAAAGGTTGGGAAAAGATTGATGGAGAAGATGGTGGGGGAGGAGGTAAAGGAGACGCAAGAGAAAAGGCGGAGAAGATGAAAGAGAAAACATTGGGATGAAGGAGGAAGAGAGAGATAATGAAGGGTGTGCAAGTGCCCCTTTTGCATTTGATGATATTTGTGAAGAAAAGTTCAGCAAAACGAAAATGAGAGTAGATGATATATTGCCAATATTGTGAAATACAGGATGAGACTGTTTGCTACTGACACACTTTGTAAAGTGCCTTTTTCCTGGTTAAACCCGGAGTATACGAATAAAAGTATTGCCACAGCTTGGAAGCCTTTGCAGGATAACTGTGCGCAATGTGTAACAGTGACTTACGTCATCAACGCGACTGTTCCATGACATAATATCGCATTCAATAGGGAAAAGACGCTGGCTTCTAATTGTCTTTCCTGGGAAAACGAGGCATTTTAGTTTCTCGAATAGTGCACGAAGAGAATGTTATATAACCCTGCAAGAAAACGTCGATATTTTGATAGAAAAATATAGTTTGAGAGTCGCTCACACCGAAAATATTTTTTCTCAAAATGGCTATTTGTCCATCTCTCAGTAAATGATGTTCACTGAAATGAAGAATGTTGAGATGGATAATGTCGCTGTCTCTCCTGTTTGAAACATATTTTAATTTTTAGAAGGACATTACCCGAAAGCTCGGGGACATTTTGAAAACATTTCTAAAAAATGATCCGTTTCTAATATTTTTCTCTCTTAGCAAAACAAAGTACGCAACAATAGTAAATCGAATATTTTTTGTGGGGGGGATGTCATAAAACGTCACATTATAATTTCTTGTTTTACTTGTTGCATTGTTGGTCTTGTGTGTGTTACAGTCTCCGTACTTGTTAGGTTTTGTTTTCATAATTTGTTAGATAGCATAGCGGTGAATGTATAGCGAGGTCGATTTCAGCCGCTGTCTGGAGGAGAAAAGCTAGCGGCTGACATGCTGTGATCTATAGTTATCTGTGGTTTCTCCGATCAACACCAGGCGAATGACGGAGCAGTACCCGAACAAGCGGGCCACGGACCGCGCGCGGTGTTTCCTTTCACTTCCTGTCCAATCGCCACCCCTTACTTACACGCATTTACACTTACATGCAATACACTGCCACAGACGCCGAAATACTAGTCAGGAGCTAAGAACGTGTCCCGGCAGGACGGTGGCCCACTGGTGGGAGATATCTGTTTGAGGAAAAACTCATGTAGATGACGTACACGACGGCGTCCGATCTCGCCATCCAAAAGGGGAATATCACCGCCACCTGTCGAAAAAAAATATTTGCACTTACGGGAATAATGTTGTTAGCTTTTGACATGTCCGGAATCACGAAAAGAGCAATTATCATTGCGGTGAATATGAAGTGTGTAAGTTGAAGTATTGTATTGTTCTGTGTGTGTTTGTGAACTGTTCCTCCTAAGCAGAAAACATCCCCAAGGAATCCTGTGAATTGGTGTATGTGGGTGTTGACGTATTGTATTGTTGTTTGTGTGTTTGTGAAGTGTCCCTCCCGAAGAGAAGAGAAGGCGCGAAGCAAGTGTGTGAAATGGTGTTGCAGGGAACCCGCGCAACAAGGTGGCGCTGCAGCCGGGCCACTCGCTGATGGACTGGATCCGGCTGGGCGCGTCGGGGCGCGTGGACCTGACGGGCGTGGGCGGGCGGCCGCGCGACGTCTCCCCGGAGCAGCTGGCGCAGCACGCCTCGCGCGCCGACTGCTGGCTCGCGCTGCGCGGTACGCACTCGCGCGCTGCGACGCTTGGCCAACACGGCTTTTCACTGCTGAGCAAAATCAGGCAATGACATTGTTCTGGAGAAGTCTGGAGGGAATCAGGGAATTCCATTGCACGGGTGAAAGGGGAATATCAGGGAATTTCAGTGCTCTGGTCGAGTCTGCAAAAAATCAGGGAATTCCATTGCACTGGTGAAAGAGGAATATCTGAGGGAATTTCAGTGCTCTGGATAAATCTGAGATAATCAGGGGATTTCAGTGCTCTGGATAAGTCTGAGAAAATCAGGGAATTTCAGAGCTCTGGATAAATCTAGGATACACAGGGAATTTCAGCGCTCTGGATAACTCTGAGAAAATCAGGGAATTTCAGAGCTCTGGATAAATCTGGGAAATTCAGGTAATTTCAGTACTCTGGATAAGTGTGGGGAAAATCACGGAATTTCTTTGTCCTGAAAAAGTCAGGCAATTTTATTTGCTTTGGTGAAAGGGGAAAATCAGAGATTTTCATTTGCTCTGGAAAAATCACGGAAAATCATGGAATTTCATTGCTCTTGCAAAGTCAGGGGAAAATCGTGATATTCCGTTGCTCTGGTGAAAGGGGATAACCAGGTATTTTTATTGCTCTGGTGAAAGAGAAAAATCAAAGAATTCCATTACTCTGGTAGTCTAAAAAAAATCAGGAAATTTCATTGCTGTGGTGAAAGACTAAAATCAAAGAATTTCATTTCTGGTAAAGTCTCAGAAAAATCCGAGAATTTGTAGGAAAATCGTCGAAAGTTGGGGAAAGGTTTGAGAGAATTGTAAAACTAGATATTATTCTTTAAGAAAATTGGTACTGCTTTACAACAAACATTATCTTTGTTCAGTTTTTAAATGCTGAAAAAATATTTCCGATAGCGTAATTAGAGATCTGACAAATTAGTATTAAGGCTGTGATACATTTTTTGAAAGTAGTGTGCAATTACGAATTCTGTTAAGATTTTCAGGAAATGAGTGGTCATCTTGTCATGAAAATATGTTGTAATAATCCTAAGTCCACTGTTAACAACTGTTACTACTGCCCAAGTGTGCATAAATTGGTGGAAAACTAACCAGCTTCTGGGCATGCGATGGTTCTCAATGGTTTAGTTAATTACCCAAGAAGACTGGAAAAATATGAAAATAACTAAGCACTTTCGGCATATCGCAAAGTGCAAATATTTTTTTGCATTATTCCGTTTACTCTTACTTCGCAAACTAATTGAATTCTCATCCTCATTGCTTCATTGCTTATGATACAGCTAACGACATTTGAAGTAGAAGAAAGGAGCTTCATTATGCACGTATTGTGTTTCAGAACTTCCCCTTCTTTCTGCTCCACTAACCCGTTTTCCACTTACACAACAGCAGCATATTTGTTCCTGCACGCCATTTGTTGACACCTGTAATCAATTTCGTAATACGTATTTCTAGAACACAAGTGATGTAATAATCCATGGGCCTTTATAAGTGCTATCCACTTCAGTCAGCCACTTTTCACAAGACAAATAGGCAAAATTAAACGAAAATTATAGTGGCATAAAAGTTTTTTCAAAGTGGATGAAACGTTTTACAAATCGTAAAATGTTAACAGAAAACTCGATTGGTTTTCAATCTCAGCGTAACCTTTTAATAATTATTTAATCTCCTATTGTAATAAGACGTCTAACGATGCATATTTTGTAAATAAGTATTAAATCACTGCTGCAAGTTTTATTTAATTATAAATATATTGCACGTATCTTTCAAAGGTTCAATTTGTTCTCCTTAACAAATATGTCATTTATGTTATGAAACAAATATTCCCTTTGATCACATACAGGAAACTTTCAAAGAAATTAGACTTTCAATTTCTTTGTTTCATTACTTTATAGTTAATGGATGAAACAATGTATAATTCTGGGAAGTAAAAAAAATACTTTACTGCCATGTACCATAAATTACCAATAATGTATCTGAACTGTAAATAACCTCTGGGGTATAAGGTATTTCGGTGTTGTGGATAATATTTGATAATGTTCTGTAGTGAATTTATACTTAATTCACAGTTGTTTAATTAACTGTGAAAATTGTGTTCACCCAAACAAAACATAAATAGCAACTTTAATAATTACCCATTTTCTTTGTATTGAACAATCAATATTACCTTCTGTGAAGTGAATTTACATTGCATAACGATCAAATGAATTGAATGCATTTATTCGATATCTCCATTTAGGGCGAAAGTTCGAATGTAATTTGGGCTGCTGTTCTGTACATCAAAGCGTTGCTATCCATTAGCATTGCATTGCGTACGCCAAACTCATTTGAATTTAACCCAATTGATTTCAAATGAAACGGTTTTAATTTCTAATTGCGTTGTCATGGCCATAAAATAGTCTGGTTCATCAATTATGTTTCGTGACTGGACTTCAGTGAACAAAACCCAATGCAATTGGAATGAATGAACGAACTCAAAATCTCTTAAATCGATTTACCAGCATAGGTACTCTGACGATTTTGAGTAAAGATGTAACCTTTTCCCTCAATTTGGCGGTCTTTCAAATCTTTAACCAATGTGTAACGTACAAGCAAAAATCGTGTTTTCTACACTTGAGAATGAAGTCGTTGTATATAAAAGGGAAGATGCTTATAATAGTATGTGTAACAAAAAAGTTAGTACCTCTGGAGGGACTGCCACCAAATTTAGCACGAATATTTTTAAGCGATCAAAAACCAAACATTGTACAGTTACGATTCAAACTATTACAACAAAATGAGCATTTTTAGATAAATAATAAAAAATTGTTTAGAAGTATACCCAGCCTCTCTATGGTAGCTTAACCTTAAATGTTCAAATCAAAATATCAAACAAATCAACCCAGAACCTTGCTTGTACATGTTGTTCAATTGCGCATTGTTATCTGCTATTTGAGGATGATAATATTTGCTAGTTATTGATGAAGAGAACAGGACTAAGCGGGGTGAGGCCGAATAGGGTGAGAATGTTAGAGTAGATAGAAGTGGGCTAGCAGGGCGGGAATTGATCGAATTTCCTGTCTTATAGATTTTGAAAAATGAATACGAAAGCTAAGCAGGGCACTTCAGTTTAATCTTAACTGATTAAACTGTATCTTTACTAACTTACTTTACTGATTATATTTCGATAGAAAAGTTTAAGTTCCAAGTAAAATCTTATGTGCTGCATAACTGTTTCTTTGCAATTAGAGACTATACCGAGCATAAAAAAGGAAAGTAATATTAATATTTACCATCATATTTAATGTATTAATAAACAACCTGTAACAAGTATTATACTTCAGCTTCTGGGTCAATTATCTCCGTCTGAATCAGGATTTTCATCCAGTTTCCGTGAGGCAATGCTGAGATGGCCCCTTGTTTTTTCTGGACAAATGTATCTTCATTATCTGTGCACTTCGGTGGAGTCAGAGTTCGGTGGGATAAATACGAGTTATTTAAAGAAAATAATTCAAAAAAAGAGATTCGTAGTTATTCAAATTATCGTTTTCCATGTCGCGGCAGAAGTATATTCCTTCATGAGTATCTGTTTTAGCTTTGTTGCTAAGTTCTGTAGCTGATTTAGCTTTGAAAATACATCGGATTTTATTACATCGGAGCGAAGATTTTGTTAACATCTCTTGCCAAAACGCTCATTTCTTTCTTTATTCAGAATTCAACTTCTATATGGTTTAGGGTAGGAATCCTAGGATTAAATAAACGTGCACAAAATACACTTCTCCCCGTAGTACGTCACACACATATTTTAACTGTTTTTGACGTAAAATAAAATGAATATTCATTAAAAATTGTATACTGCATCTTTTCTTACCACGGTGAATAAAAAGCAGTTATCAGAGTTAGCATGAAGTCTATTTACGCAAACGTCCAAAAACGCCGCGTATGTCTGCTATTTAATACACGATTGAGGTAAATAAATACCAGAGCATCGCCGGTTTTCTTACGCCAGTTCTCAATAAATGTATAGTTCAGTTTCAATCATATTTGAGTTTTAAACCACTATTTAGACAAGTAAACATTTTCTTGCAACCTCTTGATCATGTCTACGGGCTATTTCCAATTATCGGCCTATTACCGATTACTCGTCTGGAATCAATTTAGGAGGTAAGCGTATTTGCGCCAGGCTGTCCGTTGCAGTTGCTCCGCGCGAAAGGAGTTTACTCAACAGCACTGAGACGAAGAAGCCTCTGAGATTAAGCAGGGGATAATGGAGTGGGTGAGGGAGAGAGAGAGAGAGAGACTTTGAAGTACGTCGCCCTTGGGCACGGCGTCGAGCAGACGGAGATCGCTGGGGCAAATGGAGGCCCAACGTTGAGGTTGAACACAAACGTCAAGGAAATTAGACATCGGAAGCATTTAGTGGCGGAACTCCCTGCAGCCAAAAGAACAAGAAGGGAAATACTCCGATATTTTTTAACATGCGAACGCCTGTACTTAATTGTGCAGCGTATGTATTCTCTTGATCCTTTTTTTACCAGTTTTATTCTTCTCTCCTTGGCGTTAGTTCTCTCCTTTCTGTCTGTCACATTTCTCGAAGTCTCTTTGAGCGCATCTCCTTTAGTTTTATTCACGTGCTTCACTTTACCCAATACAACGTGCAAGTGTATACACATTTATGCGACCGTAATAGCTATGTTGATGATTATCTTTAATCTGTATTGGTCTTGTCGAAAACGTTTTAAATTGCAATACTTTTCTCCGAAACATTCAATGAACAGGCAGATTACTGCGTCTTAGTATGCATGTTGTATTTTTTGTGTATTATACTGTTCACACGTCTCACAACTGCACCTATTAATTTTGATCAAACAGTTTTGAAAATACCACTTCGACTAAAATTCAAACTCTTATTTTCACATAGGATATTCAAACACAGTTCATTCTCATATTTCCCCTTCTCCCCTCGATGTATATTCGCTGTTCATCCGCGTACTGAAGTACTCTCGGAGACTTTTACATCATGAGGA